ATAAGTAAACTTAATAATAAGCGCAGAAAATATAACACTATGTTGTTACAGAGTACCACTACAGAACTAAATCTCTCAATATTAGTATGAAGATGTAGTTTAAAAAAAAACCAAAAAATCAACAAAACCAAACAGAAAAACCCAACCAAACAACACCACCACCACCCCAACCCCAAACTATCAAAGCAATTCTATATGAAATACATGCCTAGAACAAGTTCATAAAATTAAGGCCACTCAAGATTACGGCTAAAATCTTATGCTCAGATTATTGCCAGACTAAGATCTCACCCTTGTTTGGTGGTGTTTTGAGCCTGTACATATGCTCAAACTTGCCATGGTGTCAGGCTGGAATATCCAACCTGAAGGGGTGAGTTTTAAGAGATACCTAGGAGATACCTGGTATTCCCATCAGTGACAATGAAGCTGAAAAATACTGTGACTTGTACATGGCTATTGGAGGTATTAGTACCCTGCAGCATAAAGGCTCATTCCTGCCCTCACTAGGACCCATTGGCAAATCTCCAACTGCAGTATTTTGGCACATGGGGCAGGGTGAAGGAGAAATTAAAGTGGTCACCTTTTATTGTTGTCAATAAAGTACTACAAAATACAAGTATTTTAGTGTCTGAATGCATGCAGTGTTAGAGGATCGCTGCTGTGTAATAACCTCAAAGTGTTATAAAAATAAATGCATTGATTTCTTATGGACTTCACTGGTTTTCATGAACTGTGGACCAGCTAAATAATGCAATCTTCTGATACAGTAGATTAAGACAAAGGAGACTCATTTCTCTATTTGAATATATTACCTTTGCCAGACTCCTTCAAGGCAGTTCTGTTTCTTTTATAAGCAAATTGCAAATGAACTTTCAGTTTTGAAAGTCTCATTTTTTAGGCACTCTAATAGTGAGCCTCGTTCTTTCTCTCTCTCACTCTTAAATTATGAGAGATTTGTATTTTCCCCAGTGGACAGCAATACTTATACAATCTACAGAAGTGCTGAAATAGTGCTAGGTGTTTGGAAACAAAGTTGTCCCACAATATCAGAACTGGAAATCTCATGTGATGTGCACTTAAGGCAGAGATTTATGAAATCATTCTCTGTGTGCTGTGTGTACAGATAGATACCTGTTTTCTCTCTCCCACAAATAACTTTGGTTCAGTTTCAACCAAATTTGATAGAGGAGTGAAAATATTGGGAGGAATGATATTTCCCTGGTTTTGTGAAAATGAATCAATGAAGAAGGTGGAGAGTCATGCTCTCGCCTTTAAGGAGTCAGTTTGTGCTCAGCTGTTAAACGTCAAACAAGCCAAGGGGCAAGAGGTCTTATGTAGCATCCACACCTTTTTGGGAACACACAGTTAAGAAATCACAAATCCTTAGGAAACCAGCTTTTGTTGTCTCACAGAACTACTCTTGAAAGAAGTTTAACCACTCAAGTCAGAGGAGCGGTGGTTATATAGTTATTAGTTGAGTTAGAGCACTGCATACTCGTAGACAGCCTGTATTCATATTTTTTATTGCTTATCATATTACTTGCTGTATTTTTTTAATACTGACATTTTGTACGTGTTTTGTAACGCTGCTACAACGTTTGCTCGCTAATGTGTTCTTAAAGGGCAAGGTGATAAATGATTCTCAGTGAGATTCTAACAGCTGACATCTGCCAGGGTTGTGCAATGTGACAACTGATTTTGGGTGCCTCTGCTTCCAAATTATGAGGATTCATTCCCTGAAAGTCAGGCCTCCCTCAATCAAACCTTTCAGTTGGACACCTAAAATCATTAGCAAACTTTTCCTTTTATAGCTGTATAATATGAAAAGCTTTTTTTTTAAAAAAAAAAAAATAAAAATTCTTGCCTTAAGAATGTTTCCATTATTATCTATCATTCTGAACATTCTGAATTCATGGAAGTCATGTATGATTTGTAGACTTGGTTAAAAGTAAACTGTAAAAAGTAGGAGCCTCAACATCAAATACAAGCTTATATGGTTCTTGACTTGTTATTATATCTTAAATTTTGCTGAGCAGCAAGGGAAAACTTTATTAAACTACACTGAAAAGAAAAAACAAAAGGCATGACACATTAGAAACTTACTGTTAAACAAAAGACAGTGAAGAATCTGTTGTGACAATAGAAATAGCAGCATTACTTTAAAAAATGGATTGCAGGCAATGGCACTCGAATTTGAATCAGGTTCATACTATAAAATATGGTTCAGCGTGTAATGCTCGTGTTATGGCTCTGTTAAACAAACAGTTCGTTCTTATTAGATAATGACCTTGGACAGGCTTCCCTGCTGCATGATTTTTTATGTCTGATAATGAAGGTGTAGCCAGTGGAACGATTATACACAAACAGACAGGAAATACACTTTGCAACAGTGTAGACTTCAAACTTTTACAACTTTTAGTAGACTTACCTGAATAGACACAGGGAGTTTAAACTATTTTCTCTCTCTCTCTCTCTCTCTCTCTCTCTCTAATTGGAAAAATACCTTTCTCAATTTGGTTTGGTTGCAGTTACTCAGCCTGGGCTCTCAAACGATCTTGAATGTAATTCCTGAAACAACTTGGGGGGGTGGGCGGGGGGAAGGATTGTTGGTAGGCAAAATCAAGAGCCTCCCAAATGTCATCAGTGGTAGTTGTTGTAGTACAGTCTGGATCAACCTTCCTATATTTCTATGATCCTACAAGTCTCCTTATACCCTCTTTCAGAACAGCATAAATTTCTTCCCACAGCACCACACCGTCATCTCCAGAAAACAGGAAAGCTATTCCTTCCCTGAGAGCCAAATTAGATCTCTGATCAATGGGTAAATGACAGCTGGAGTTAGAAAAGTTGCATGTAAAGATTTAATTTTTCCACAGAGCTGAATTTTTAAAAAATGTTAACACTTTATGAGAACATGTTGTGACCTATTTTTTAGTAAGATGGGTATTTAATTCCATGAGTTTAAAATGCATGTACAACTGTACTAATGGGTATTGTGAAAGACTTTCTTTAGAGAAATAACCTGAGACAAAATAAGAGGCACATTTAGATTTATTATTAATTCAGGTGAAGTGACAGTGGCTGTTAGAGGAGCAATTGATTATTCATTGGCTCAGAGAAGAGAAGATCTGAACAGGACAGTGAGGAGAAATATCTTTGATTTGCCTTGTAGTGTTTGTGCATAAACATGGCTCTTAATATCCCTCCACAGCATTCTGTGGAGGTCTGAGTGCTGTTCCACTGATGTTGATAGTAATTAAATTATGCCTATTTCTCTTGCTTGCTTCTGGTTTGCATGCCATCTGGTACACTACCATGTAGAGCCAGCATATTTTCACTGCAGAGAGATATTTCATGAAATACGTGTATAATCTGAAAGAGGGGTAGTTGAGAAGGATTCATTAGAAGTTTATAATTTAAATCTTCAAGAAACCCCTCCACCATCCTTTCCCCCCCCCCCCCCCCCCCCCCCCCCCCCCCCCCC